TCCCTTGCCTCAGAAGAATGTGGAAACTGGACTATTGTAGTCAGTTCACTCCCTTGCCTCGGGAAGATGTGGAAACTGGACTTTTGTAGTCAGTTCACTCCCTTGCCTCGGGAAGATGTGGAAACTGGACTTTTATAGTGAGTTCACTCCCTTGCCTCAGAAGGATGTGGAAACTGGACTTTTGTAGTCATTTCACTCCCTTGCATCGGGATGATGTGGAAACTGAACTTTTATAGTGAGTTCACTCCCTTGCATCGGAAGAATGTGGAAACTGGACTTTTGTTGTCAGTTCACTCCCTTGCCTCAGGAAGTAGTGGAAACTGGACTTTTGTTGTCAGTTCACTCCCTTGCCTCAGGAAGATGTGGAAACTGGAATTTGTAGTCAGTTCACTCCCTTGCCTCAGGAGGATGGGTCTTCATGTGAGGAAATGTGGTACCCACCTGGAGTATCACTGCATCCTCTGTGCTCAGCCTGTCCACGACAATCACCCACCCTTGAATGTGGACAGATCCCAATTTAGCAGCACATGATCAAAATATGCATTATTCATTGCGTGTCTATAAGGGGAATCTACTGCAGGTCTATAGTGCATGGATATGTCTAAACTCAAGGCAAGGGGTTATTTCTTGGGAATAAAATACTAACATAATACAGCTATCAGCCACGACCTCAATGGTGTCCGTCCGGCATCAATGATGGGGTATTGTTTATTAATTCCGAGTCACTCTGATTGTATAGATCACATATTTTCCATATGATCAATAAATATGTTTCATGTATGGTGAATATCATTTAGGTTATGATCACAAGTGAGATATAAATGTGATCCACATGCTGAAGAGACAGGTGCTGAAATGCTACACTGATGTGTCCTGTGTATTTTGTTTTGTTTAGATTGGATGTTTTGTCATTTCTACAAATATTTATATGATACGTCCAGCAGGGCTATGTTAATGCAAACGTTTTGTATTTAATATAAACATTCTGTGTGACAAAATGAATCCAGTTTAAACTTTTCTACATGATATTGATATAATGCGGTTGACGAGAATGTGCCATCAGTCTCTACTTTAATACACAAGTTATTTCTTCACCCTGGCGCCTTCGCTGACATAAAAGTGAAGTAAACTTGATTTCACACATTCATACTTCTTTGGGTGGTACAATGAACAAGAGTTCTTTGGTGATCTGGGGTACGGACTTGTGTTTAAATTTTGATCAAAAGAATTTTGGTTTTATCTTATTCAATTCTAATTCTGTCTATTCTGGTGTTATGAAGTCATTTAGAAGCAATTGTGATGGTAAGAAAAATTTCACCATTTGGCTAAGTTGAATTTCCATCACATAAGGACTTCAGGTTTGGCAATGGCACAAAAAGTTTTAAAAAGTCTGGAGCCAAATGAATAAAAATAATCCTGGTACCAGGGGTGGGCTACAGTGCCCTTGGATTCTGCAGTCACATAGATTGTTTTACATTATCTGAGAAAGTTGTCAGGCAGGAATGGTCTTGTATGATGAAATACAACTATCTGTCAGCGAGTTTCATCTCTAATCACTGGTAAATCTGGAGGGGGAATCTAGTCCTGTATTCATATGCTTGTACATTTTATTACCTGTACTTGCATTGTTTTAATGTTTGTGAGACAGATCGAGCCTTTAATCAGCATGCTGTAGACACCTGCAACTACAATGAATTACAGACTACTTTCTCCTTCTCTCAGCTATTGACTTGAATCATTTCGTTCAAACACTCCACAAGGTCCATTTACATGAGAGACATTTTGACTTCAGCCTTGAGGATTTGACTTGCAATGGTGGCTATTTTTATAGCCTGCCTCCTTCCACAATACTGTAATTAGGAATATATTGTGCTGAGTTAGAATAGAGGCCAAATGTAATAAGCACTGGCTTAATAGAACAGGAACAATATTACGTCAATGAACTGTCATAGCTCTGAGAGAGTCATTGTAACCACAGGGTGTTGGAGCACTGAATGTAGGGGAGCACAGGAGGCTTCAATCAGAGCAGGGGGCACGGGTGGCCCAGTCACCTAAGGCGCTGCAATTTGCTGTGCAGAGTTGCGTGCCTTGGGCACGCCAGAAACCATGATTGTGGGTTTGAATCCCGGTTGGCCCCAATTATGTTTCTAGGTTTGTCAGCACCATACCGGTGCTCGTGGGTTTCATCGAAGTGGTAAACGTCTAAGACCTGCATCACTTGGGGCTTTCCTCCCACATTAAGCTGACACGCCGACTGGAATACTGTAAAGAGCATCAAGTGCTTCATTCAGAGCATAGGGTGATTCATTCAGAGCATAGGGTGCCTCTTTCAGAGCATAGGGTGCCTCTTTCAGAGCATAGGGTAGTTCATTCAGAGCTTAGAGTGCTTCATTCAGAGCATGGGTGCTTCATTCAGAGCATAAGGTGCTTCATTCAGAGCATTGAGTGTTTCATTCAAAGCATAGGGTGGTTCATTCAGAGCATAGAGTGCTTCATTCAGAGCATTATGTGCTTCATTCAGAGCATAGGGTGCTTCATTCAGAGCATAGGGTGCTTCATTCAGAGCATAAGGTGGTTCATTCAGAGCATAGAGTGCTTCATTCAGTGCATAGAGTGCTTCATTCAGAGCATGGAGTGCTTCATTCAGAGCATAGAGTGCTTCATTCAGAGCATGGGTGCTTCATTCAGAGAATAAGGTGCTTCATTCAGAGCATTGAGTGTTTCATTCAAAGCATAGGGTGGTTCATTCAGAGCATAGAGTGCTTCATTCAGAGCATTATGTGCTTCATTCAGAGCATAGGGTGCTTCATTCAGAGCATAGAGTGCTTCATTCAGATCATAGGGTGGTTCTTCCAGAGCATAGAGTGCTTCATTCGGAGCATAGAGTGCTTCATTCAGACCATAGGGTGGTTCATTCAGAGCATTAGATGCTTCATTCAGAGCGTGTAACAAGGTAAATATCATGTAAATTATGGTAAATAACAAATCCGTACTGAAATACGCAATTTAATCCTTAATCACTGGTTGTAAAAAGTGTTCATTCTTTATCTGGACTTTTGTTTGTAATCTATTACAAGATTTCATTTGTGAGCACCTGGTGTCATAACTGATTTTCAGTGGTCCATTCATATAAATTTTTCATCTATTTTGCCCTTTATGCCAAATCTTTAATCTGTTTCAGCGGATAATCTAGACTGGTTATTCTCATGCATTGATAATTTATATTTACATCAATTTCGGCGAAATCTTGTGTGAAGTGATTGGCAAACTGCACCAACTCAATGTTTGTTAAGGGGGCGGTCGGGTAGCCCAGTGGTTAAGGCGTCCGCTTGTCACGCCGAAGAACCAGGTTCGATTCCCAACATGGGTACAATGTGTGAAGCCCAATTTTGGTGTCTCCCACCATGATATTGCTGGAATATTGCTAAAAGCGGCGTATGACAATACTCACTCACCACTGTTTGTTTACAGCAACCATGGTCAGATTGCTACTGATGACGCCTTTAAACCAACTTCAGTTGACAGAGAATGGATACATAAATCATACATGTCACACTTCAACTTGTTAAAAGTCATATTTCATATAGTCTGACTGTTATATGGCAACATAGTGTTTTTGTGATCAAAACAGTGAAAAGACACATCCGTGACTGGTCAAATTGTTCCATACATACAAAATATCCAGCAATAGCTGTCAGCTGTACCAAAGTGCTATGCTTATGGTTATTATTATTTCAAATATATACTGTAAAATCTGCAATCATTGCAATAAAATTGTTTTAAGTTATATCATTAGGTAATTTTTAACTGAATCACAGGTAGATTTGGAGTAGATGTGCGCACAGCTAATTGCCATTTCCAGCTTAGTTTACGAGAAAATAGACACAATAATCTCAATCTCTGCAAATAAAAAAATGCTTAGCAGAACATGATGTATGATTTAAATGGTAAATCATCATGTCTTGTGATGTTTTATCTCAAATTTCACATTTCAGAGTGTGATACTAGCTTTTATCTAACTGATTTGCACATGCATTTTCAATCCTCATTGTCTATGATCTACGCTACATACATTCATAAGCAAAATATTACTTGTCACTGAAAGATGATTACATTTTATTCACTGCAAACATGTTCATTTACAATCATTATGCAATGTGTTGATCATCAGCAGTGAATATCCACTGTGTATCTGTATAACACCCTTCCTATGATCCCCGACGACAATGATATATCGATGGTTCACTGTCGTAAGGAAATGGCAATGCCCTTCATCATGTTTCTTTATAAGTACTGGCAACAGTTGATCTTATAGTAGTGCAGCTTCATTGTTTCGTTTTTTTGTTTGTTGTTTAAAGCTGCACTCAGCAATATTCCAGCTATATGACGACAGTCTGTAAATAATCAAGTCTGGACCAGACAATCAAGTGATTGCCTTCACGAGCATCACTGCCCACAATTGGAAAACAATGACATGCATCAACCAAGTTAGTGAGCCTGACTACCCAATTCTAGGAGTTGGCATAGTCGCCTTTTACGACAAACATGGGTTGTTGAAGACCTATTCTAACCCGGATCTCACATGGTTGAGAGTGATTATAGGTTTGTCCAAGGAGTTATGTAATTGTCATCAGTTGATAGCAACTGAATAGTTGTTAGGAGGTTTCTTGTTAATAGAAGTATGTTTCAATACAGAATTATAGTTTTAAGTAATTTTTGGTAAACTTTAAACAATATATTTGAAGAATTTTAAGATTCTGTAAATATTCCATGACTGAGAAAATGAGACTACTTAGATAAGTAAATAACTATGACTGTTGAGTGCAAGCACCAGATCCCTCCTTTATACATGATACTGAAGATGTCTAAACCTTCAACAAGCCAAGTGAGCTGTGTACGTGCTAATGTTGTCACTATATTCACAGTATTCAGCCTGGGGAGGGGTCGACTCTAGGACCCTAGTTCTATTTCTTGTTTATGCATATTTCATTTTGTTTCAGTGTGGCTCTGTCAAGTGGTTTGAATAAAGGACTGAACTGTCATCCATCAGCAATCCCAATCTGATAGAGAACACGCTTGAACCAGCATCAATATCGATATGAGCGACAGGACTTGAATATTGAGATTAAATCAGCCAACAGCAGTAGGCTAGGAACGATGTTTGTATCAATGATTTAATAAGCAGTGTGTGTGTGCCATGTCGAAGAGGGAGACCATGAGCTCCTTGCCCCTGACAGGGATATCCACAAGTGATTTCATTGGATTCTTACACATGTACCAGGACAGCAATCATCACTGACAGCTCACTGACAAGCATGATGTGTTTAACGTTCCAACTGATCCTGTGCTGGTGTCTGCATGTGCTGACAGGTAGGTGATATGTATATTTTGCTAGCCCTGTGAGGTTTGTGTCAAGGGGCCAGAGGTGTGTCCCTCATGCCATGGTGGTCGTACATTTTACTACCTCAACAGGAAAAAATATTTGTCCTTTCCCTTCTTTCCCTTCACTTCAATAACTTTTGATCAGGTTCTTCAAAAAGGTATTGAGTATTTTCTTTTGGTTCCTTCCCCTGGTCTTTCATCTGTGAATTTCCTGAAACATGCATTCCTTTAATGGATGACCAGATGTTGTGTGGGGAAACGATGCCAATTGACCAAGCCTTCTTGCGTGAATATATTTCACAATCTTCTTTTTTAAAGACCTCCCAAAATAATAGCTTCGTTTCAGATACTCAATCCTGAAGTTAAATAAAAGCAAAATCCTTGTTCTCCTTATTGTGAACTAAATGTCAATAAAAACACTTGCCAGCCACCAGTTTACCCTATGTATCATATGTAAAGCTATGTGTTCACATATTCTAAAAAGACATGTTTGAATTAAGAGCTAAATGTTGCAAGTTGTTCACAATGGTGGATGCTATTCAGTATGAAGCTCTGACAATAAACGAGGAACTGAAGTTGCCACCACAATAAATAAAATTCAGGTGATTCAGTGGCATTTGATTGGCTAATCGTGCAATTGTTTATTGCGTTTATGCTTCCATAAATCGATACAAAAGTTAGGTCATGCCCACAAAAAGACTACTGTCACTTAAATGGTTGATAACAGAATGGAATTGGAAACAGCTGAAGCTCAGCTGGCATAAAAGTACATTGCTTGTGTGTTGCCTGGCACTGCTCACATGTTCCGATATATGTTCCCGTAATCCTTTTTGGAACCATTCCCATTAGTCTTAGGACAGCATATATCATATTCTACCCCCTCCCATGTGACATTTTCCCCTCCCCTCCCTATGATAAATTACCAGTCCCTGAGTAATTTTCAAATTCCTAAAAAAAATAATTTAAAAAATAGAATTGTGTTTGCCCCTATCACTGTGTCATGTTATCATGACAACCCCAATAATCTCACCTTGCCTCCCCAGTAATAAATGGCCAGTCCATCTATAGATATTACAAAAATATTTAGTTAAAAATATGTAACTTCTAACAATTGCAAATTAATTATATTTTATATCCCACATAACTCTACTGATATACAACTTTAATTTTCTAAAACAATTTTTACCATACTTTCTAAGATTTCTCTTTTATATTTGAGTTGTCTTGTTCCCTGTTCCCAACATGTCTACAAGAAACGAGTAAAACTACTTTGGAATTGATGTGATCGAAAACTGGACAATGGACGACTATTTAGGTTTAATAAATATCATATAACTACACAGTTTAAGAAGAATATTATTTCTATTTTGATTGCAGTTACACTTTCAAATGGTTACTTGTCTCTGATCTTGGGTTGTCACGATATGGCTGAAATATTGCCGATATGACGTGAAATCTGAACTCACTCACTGATCTTGGGTAATGACAAGCTGCCAGTATTCATGCTGTGGATGTTCCCCTCAATGTAATAAACCTAGCCATTTCATGCAGCAATATCTCCCATTTTTGTTGCGTTTTGTGATTTAATCCTGTCAACCATAACTCTTCAATATAGTGTCGGAATATTTTCACAATAACTTTATGTATTTCATCCTAATATTTTTACTGGGTTGGAACTAAATTTTGGCGGAACAAAAACATGCTTCCAATTTGCATGACTGCGCTGAATGATGTCGCTGATTGCGTGTTGTGGTCGGCTACGTGTTATTGTTACAGTTATTGCAACAGTTTTTTGTGATTAAATAAGCAGTCTGTGATGTTATTATTGTTGATGTATTTATTCATAAGAATTGGCTGAATTTGTTTTTGCATTTATGGAGTTATACAGGCTGGTGTACACAGTTTGCATCAATGTATCCGATACATGTATTTACACAGTTTGCGTCAATGTATCAGATACATGTATTTACACAGTTTGCGTCAATGTATCGGATGCACGTATTTACACAGTTTGCGTCAATGTATCAGATACATGTATTTACACAGTTTGCATCAATGTATCAGATACATGTATTTACACAGTTTGCGTCAATGTATCGGATGCACGTATTTACACAGTTTGCGTCAATGTATCAGATACATGTATTTACACAGTTTGCGTCAATGTATCGGATGCACGCATTTACACAGTTTGCATCAATGTATCGGATGCACGCATTTACACAGTTTGCGTCAATGTATCAGATACATGTATTTACACAGTTTGCTTCAATGTATCAGATACATGTATTTACACAGTTTGCGTCAATGTATCAGATACATGTATTTACACAGTTTGCTTCAATGTATCAGATACATGTATTTACACAGTTTGCGTCAATGTATCAGATACATGTATTTACACAGTTTGCGTCAATGTATCAGATACATGTATTTACACAGTTTGCGTCAATGTATCAGAAACATGTATTTACACAGTTTGCGTCAATGTATCAGATACATGTATTTACACAGTTTGCGTCAATGTATCAGATACATGTATTTACACAGTTTGCGTCAATGTATCAGATACATGTATTTACACAGTTTGCGTCAATGTATCAGAAACATGTTTTTACACAGTTTGCGTCAATGTATCAGATACATGTATTTACACAGTTTGCTTCAATGTATCAGATACATGTATTTACACAGTTTGCCTCAATGTATCAGATACATGTATTTACACAGTTTGCATCAATGTATCAGATACATGTATTTACACAGTTTGCGTCAATGTATCAGATACATGTATTTACACAGTTTGCTTCAATGTATCAGATACATGTATTTACACAGTTTGCGTCAATGTATCAGATACATGTATTTACACAGTTTGCTTCGATGTATCAGATACATGTATTTACACAGTTTGCGTCAATGTATCAGATACATGTATTTACACAGTTTGCATCAATGTATCAGATACATGTATTTACACAGTTTGCATCAATGTATCAGATACATGCATTTACACAGTTTGCACTAATGTATCAGATACATGTATTTACACAGTTTGCGTCAATGTATCGGATGCACGCATTTACACAGTTTGCACTAATGTATCAGATACATGTATTTACACAGTTTGCGTCAATGTATCGGATGCACGCATTTACACAGTTTGCGTCAATGTATCGGATGCACGCATTTACACAGTTTGCGTCAATGTATCGGATGCACGTATCTACACAGTTTGCGTCAATGTATCGGATGCACGCATTTACACAGTTTGCGTCAATGTATCAGATACATGTATTTACACAGTTTGCTTCAATGTATCAGATACATGTATTTACACAGTTTGCGTCAATGTATCAGATACATGTATTTACACAGTTTGCTTCAATGTATCAGATACATGTATTTACACAGTTTGCGTCAATGTATCAGATACATGTATTTACACAGTTTGCTTCAATGTATCAGATACATGTATTTACACAGTTTGCGTCAATGTATCAGATACATGTATTTACACAGTTTGCACTAATGTATCAGATACATGTATTTACACAGTTTGCACTAATGTATCAGATACATGTATTTACACAGTTTGCATCAATGTATCAGATACATGTATTTACACAGTTTGCACTAATGTATCAGATACATGTATTTACACAGTTTGCATCAATGTATCAGATACATGTATTTACACAGTTTGCACTCATGTATCAGATACATGTATTTACACAGTTTGCGTCAATGTATCGGATGCACGCATTTACACAGTTTGCGTCAATGTATCGGATGCACGCATTTACACAGTTTGCGTCAGTGTATAGGATGCACGTATTTACACAGTTTGCGTCAATGTATCAGATACATGTATTTACACAGTTTGCGTCAATGTATCGGATGCACGCATTTACACAGTTTGCGTCAATGTATCGGATGCTCGTATTTACACAGTTTGCGTCAATGTATCAGAAACATGTATTTACACAGTTTGCGTCAATGTATCAGATACATGTATTTACACAGTTTGCCTCAATGTATCAGATACATGTATTTACACAGTTTGCATCAATGTATCAGATACATGTATTTACACAGTTTGCGTCAATGTATCAGATACATGTATTTACACAGTTTGCTTCAATGTATCAGATACATGTATTTACACAGTTTGCGTCAATGTATCAGATACATGTATTTACACAGTTTGCTTCGATGTATCAGATACATGTATTTACACAGTTTGCGTCAATGTATCAGATACATGTATTTACACAGTTTGCATCAATGTATCAGATACATGTATTTACACAGTTTGCATCAATGTATCAGATACATGCATTTACACAGTTTGCACTAATGTATCAGATACATGTATTTACACAGTTTGCGTCAATGTATCGGATGCACGCATTTACACAGTTTGCGTCAATGTATCGGATGCACGCATTTACACAGTTTGCGTCAATGTATCGGATGCACGTATCTACACAGTTTGCTTCAATGTATCAGATACATGTATTTACACATTTTGCGTCAATGTATCGGATGCACGCATTTACACAGTTTGCGTCAATGTATCGGATGCACGCATTTACACAGTTTGCGTCAATGTATCAGATACATGTATTTACACAGTTTGCTTCAATGTATCAGATACATGTATTTACACAGTTTGCGTCAATGTATCAGATACATGTATTTACACAGTTTGCTTCAATGTATCAGATACATGTATTTACACAGTTTGCGTCAATGTATCAGATACATGTATTTACACAGTTTGCTTCAATGTATCAGATACATGTATTTACACAGTTTGCGTCAATGTATCAGATACATGTATTTACACAGTTTGCACTAATGTATCAGATACATGTATTTACACAGTTTGCATCAATGTATCAGATACATGCATTTACACAGTTTGCTTCAATGTATCAGATACATGTATTTACACAGTTTGCGTCAATGTATCAGATACATGT